TCGATGATGATGATGTTACCATCATTACGTGAATATAATGTCATTAATAATCGATAAATTATTCGATTATCAAATTAAATATAATGTAATGATGTAATGATCTATGTGTGCTCAATGTTTGATTTGTGCATATATTTGTCGGTTAGTTAACAGTTTGGATGTGGATTGAATATTCTTGCTTTTTCTATTAGTAATTGCACACAAAAATTGTCAAGTTGAACACACACACATATATTGCAATAAGAACACGAATAAATTAATCTGGTTTTCACATTTTCGTCGTTGTTCACTTGTTCATATATATTTTTTTTCTAGCCATATTAATATCCCGTAATGGTATATGTGTTTTCATCTTTTTTTTTGATACATATTACCACTTTGAATAGAAAAAAAATAACATTCTCAGACGTTTTGATCATTCTTGTTTTGTCGTTATCATTATTATCATTATTGTTTTTATGATTTTTACTCATTTTTTCTACTCTTTTAACTTTGTTTTTTCTCTCTAATGGATTTTATTTGCTGTGTAAAAAGAATGAGAAATTTTTTTATCATTTTTTTTAACCAAACTCTGGATTAAGTTCAATGGAATGGAATCAAAATTGGAAATGGAAAAACATATAAAATATTTATATCCCATTGTATGAGAAAGAAAGAGAAAGAAAAAAGTTTTTTTTTGTTATCTCGTTGTTTAATTCTGTCCATCATGATTGCATGTGGTGGAAAAAAATGTAATTTCCTTATGAAAAAAAATCCATCCCTTCATATTCCGTTCATTCGTTCATAAAAATGTATTATAAATTGTATGATGATCTCATAAGGTGTTTCCTGATACATAAAATAACTTTGTTTCTGGTTCCTGAAATTTATTTATTTTTTTCTTCACTTCATCATAATAAACTCATGGCTTTTTTTTTATTTTTCATCTTGCCAGTATAGTGATTTGATGATTATTTTTCATCATTATGTATGCAAACTTTTTTGTTGTTGTTGTTGTTATTGTTGTTTTAGTGTTTTTTTTTCATTTCTTTCATAATAATAATAATCATCATTATCATTATTTCTAGATGCCATTACATATTATCTTTGTTAGTTTTTTTTACCTGGAATAGATATATAGTGATCATTGATGATGAAACACATTCTTATCATTCAAATGACGATGATCAACATATACATACCGCAGGCAAACTAACTAAAAGTGAATTATGTTTAACATTGAATCTGTAATAATAGAAACTGGAGATAAAACAAAAAGTAAAAAAAAAAATAAATAAATAAAAGTTTAGCTCACTAGGAATGAATGAATGAAATAACAAAAAAAAAAAAAAAAAAAAATAAAAATAAATATGAAAAACAACAAAGTTATGAAATGTATGTTGAGTTAATGAGCTCAACATGGTTCTGTCACAAATTGTCGAAAATAAAAATGTCGAATACAAAATGGTCGAAAATATTTGATCGAAAATAATAAAGTCGAAATGACAAAAATGTCGAACAGACAAAAATGTCGAAAATAAAAAAGTCGAAAATTGAAATGTCGAAATGGCTTGAGCCCTTATCCCTTAAAATTATCACTAACGAAAAAGACTCAAATATTATTTTTTCATTTTAATTCTGGATACACAGTGGCGACTTTTCCCTTATTTAATGCAGAGAACGTCAGTGTTAACTTTACTTTATTCAATGCCGATATCGTCAGTGTTGACTTTACTTATTATTGTCAAAGACAAGGAAATTTTCTGAGACAAAAGTGTAAAACATCGATGAACCGATTTATAGTATTTTAGACTTTGATCTCTATTCTAGATTGTTTGTCAATACAATAGTTTTATCCAAACCTCACCGAAGGTGAGGTTTGTATTAATCTAATGAACCGAGACCACCTAACCTAACCTAACCTAACCTAAACTAGAAAAAAATAAACATTTTTGGCCCTGTGAAGACCGTTCATAACATTGAATGCTCCTTTTATCACCCACTCTTCAATACAATAATTACTTAAAGATAATTTTGATGCTGTAGTAAATCGATAAACAATCAAATAATAATCACAAACAAATTTGAATGAAAATATAAAGTGAATTGATAATAATATGAATCCAAATAGTTCGAATAAAAATAAAATTTTATCATCTTAATGTGTGATTATCCAGAATTGAAATGAAAAAATAATATTTGAGTCTTTTTCGTTAGTGATAATTTTAAGGGATAAGGGCTCAAGCCATTTTCGACATTTCAATCTTCGACTTTTTTATTTTCGACATTTTTGTCTGTTCGACGTTTTTGTCGTTTCGACTTTATTATTTTCGATCAAATATTTTCGACCATTTTGCATTCGACATTTTTATTTTCGACAATTTGTGACACAACCGCTCAACATATATAGCTCATTATCAAGTATATTTTGGATTCAAGCAATTTTGGTTGCTGCTTGTTAAATTATTTTTTTTCGTTTTATAATCAAACAAACAAACAAAAAACATTGAATACAATCATCAACTGATTGAATTTGAACAATATTTTTTTTTAAACAAAAAATAAAGTTTATTTTTCCATACAAATTTCGCTCATTGAGTGAAAAGTTCGTAAAGTTTGTTTATTTCACCCGTCGTTGCATACTCGTGATGAAAAGAAGAAAAAAAAAATTAAAAATCAAGTTTATAAAATGAAAATAATTAACCTCATTAAATGGCATCATCAGAATTATAATGATGATGATGACAACATTGTGAGCGAGAGAGTGGACGTTTTGGATATTAAATTGAAAACTTTTTAATTTCACATTACAATATATTCGTTATCATTAAGAAAAAATAGCCGTCGAATCCGTATGTATATATGAATATTATGATAATAAATTCCAAACTTGTTTGTTTGTCTATTATGGGGAAAAGAATATTCTATATTCAATTAGAATTCTTGTTATTTTAAGCATTTGCATTTATTTTCTGGTTTCCATCACTATATCGTCCCATTATTATCATCAGATATATATATGGCAAAATGATGGTTATGAAATAAAATTTTGACAAATGTCTATCTATGAATAAGTAAACATGTTGATGTGTGTTATGTTTATTGGTGGCTATCAACAAATTCAATTCACACACATAAAATGTGTGTAAGTGTGGATATATGCTAAAAACAGCCTGTATGTCAAACACACAACCGCCAACTTAAAGCATCAAAAAAAAAACATTGCCATTCATTTGTGTGTATTGAAACCAAGAAATGAGAAAATAGCTTAGGATTTCCAAAGAAAATGATTGTCCATCTATTCTGTTTACTTTTTTTTTCTCTCTCCATTCATATATTCGTATGCAACATAGTATTTGTTTTTGTTGCAACATTTATTTTTATTTTTATTTTTATTTTTTTTTTTTGGATAAACATGTTTTTTTTCACTGTGTTTTCATCATCATCATTTATTATTATTATTATTATTCTCCACAACTTAATGAGATCAAAAATTAAAGTCGACATTTGAAAATGAAAATGACCAACAAAAAAAAATAAAAACATCCACACAAAACACAAAAACAACAACAACAACAAAAATATCAGAAAAAAGACCAAAATTCATATATAAAACAACAGAAAAAACAAATATGAACAACAATATGATAAACAAAACCAAAAAAAAAAAACAAAGAACAAAAAAACAAATTCTTGCAATTCACTTGAAACAAATTTGAGTATTCATGTACACTGGAAAACTTCACTTGATCATGTAACCGGAACAAAAAGAAAAATTCCACCGTGAAAAAAGACATAGCTAGGTTGGACTCAAATATAATAGCAAGAAGAAAGAAAAAACCAAGAAAAATTGTACATAAAAAGAATTAATGGCCACAAAAAAAAGAAAAAATCAACAGAACGAAAAAAAAACATCAACCACGAGATAGGCAAATTTTTTTATTACAAAAATATCATCATGGCCCATCATCCTTAAATTTCGTTTTCCCATTATCGTCGATTCTTTCTTGACCAAAAAAAAAAAGCAAAATTGTATTCGAACAAATGTGGCATATATGACAACTGACGACAATGACCTGAGCCTAAAAAAGCATGAGAAAAAACCAAAGAATTCAATTTTTTCCTGATAATAATTTTAAATTCGTTTTTTATTATTATAGAATCAGAGATAGAAAATAATTCTTGTAAGAGAGAAAAAAAATTCAAACCATTTGTCGTCCGGTTTGTTCGGCTATTATTCGGTTGAATGTTTTTTTTCTATTCTTTCTTATTCTGACAATCCGTTAACATGTGTGCATTGTGTTTTTTTTTTGGTGTATTGATTGTTCTGTTTTATACACCAAGTCTTTTGAAAAAAAAATCAAACAATGATGATGATGATGATGATGACGATGATTACCAACAGAAAAATACTTTGGCTCCCGTTTGTTATCAAATAGACTTGCGCTGATAGAAAAAAATTCTCACTTGTTCTCACTCAACACATAGAATTCGATTCAGAATTTTTCTACAGTTTAACGTTTTGTTAGAAAAAATTATATTATGATTATTGGGTTTTTTTTAGTGCGCGTGTGATAACCGTTGCAGACAGTTCTTTGGTAACAATCAAAAAAAAAAAAAAATGTGTTCGCATAAAAATGTCAGTTTGTTTGTGAATTTCAGCTAGCACATTCTTGCAAATGAAAACCAAATTATTTGTCTCGTTTTTTTTCTTGGTTCAAAAACGCAATTGAAATTTGTAAATCTCACAGCAAGAAAATATAAAACTTTCTACACAGTTGTATAATGTACACGTTGAACAGTCAAAAACTTTTAACTTTTACGTCTTGACTTATTACTAATGTATTCATGTTCATGTTGACTAGAATCTTTTCAATTATTCAAAAACATATCATTTGTTTATCGATTTTAATATCATTTGTATATGTGTGTATCCAGTAACATTATCTATAAATTTATTCTGTTTTCGCTGAGATATTTTTCTGATTTATTTGAAAAAAACTTTTAACTGATTGTTGTTGTTGACTGATATTTTTGTTTGGCATCAATAATTGAAAGAAAATTCAAATCACCTGTAATCTCGAAGAATGTGTGAGTATAGAAAATTTTAATTTTTTTTTCTTTGCCATTATGAAGTGTTTGAATTTTTTTTTTCATTGAAGAATATTTCACTTTTCGTTTCGTTGCATATATTTTCTTTAGATAGATGTGATTTTTTTTCTTTCCAATATTCTTTGTGCTTGTTTTTTAAAGAATTTTTCAATTCATTCATAAGAACCGTTTCCGAGCTCACAATAGTTGATGATTTTGATGATAATAATGTCAAGACTAGTTTATAAATCATCATAATGATAATAAATATACAAAAAAAATTCCAAATATTATCAGCAAGCCAATCAATAAACACACCCAAATGAATGGTTGTTGTTGTTGTTTGTCTCTATTCATTCATAACTGAATCGATAATATTTATGCAAAGAAAAACAAGAATATGCTAAACATTTTTCTTTCTACAAATAAACACACACACACACACACACAAACATGCACTGACGAATAAAATATCAATAATAATGAACGAAAAAAAACGAAGAAAAAATAAAAAGAATATTTAGATAAACAAGTAAAGAAGAAAAAAAAATTATTATTATTCACCACTCCATTTCCATACATCAGTGTCTGTTTGTTGTCTGTGTGTGTTTGTAGTCTGTGTGTGAATGAATTACAATTTCTCCATTCATCATCATATATATGAAATTAATCCTGTTATCTCTATGTTTAGGTGTGTGTAATCAGTCATCATCATCATCATCATCATAACATCTGCTACCAATCATTATTCTGATTATTTGTTTGCCTGATAATGATGATGATTTTGAACAATAAACATCTTGTTTTTTTTTCTCTTTTTTTCTAAAAGTACATTTTCATTAATTTAATTTTTTTTCCTTTTTTCGTTCATCATTCCGATTCCATTTATCAGTATTTGACCATAACACATAATTGGTCGATAATAAAAATAATCAAAGTGAATCTCTGTGTAAGAAAAACATCGTGTTTATATACCATCAATACACAATACCAGAAAATACAATTTTTTTTTCATTCTCATTACATGAAAATATTCTAATCACAGTGACATTAGTGATTAGCTTTTTATTATTTCTCACATTAATGTGTTTTTTTTTCATCTCATCATTTTTTTTTGTTCATCAATGATAATTGTTCCTGACATTCTCAGAATTCTGATTCTGATTCCGTGATCATCATTAAGTATATATTGTTTGTTTGATTCCAAAGAAATTCTTGTCGAAATACTTTTGATGATTGGAAAGCCAAAAAAAAGTGCCAGGATCAAAAACTTAGTCAAAAAGGCATACCATATACCATTTAATGGTAATAATGTTGTATCAATGCTATAGAATTATCGTTGTTGTAGTTGTAGTTATTGCTTGGTTGAATCCAAAAAAAAAAAAAAAAATAGTCTACACTTGTCAGTTTATATTCTTTTAACGTTTCGTTTTTTTTTATTTTCAACATGACATAAATTGACCGGCTTTGCTTGCTTCAAACTGACATTCGAATGTTTGGCATATTTTTTTTCTGCACTCTATATGGACTATCTTAAGATAGTAGAAAAAAAATAGTGAAAGAAATCCTTCGAAACAATTCATTCACTCAATTGATTTTTTTAGAAGAATTTATCGTTTCCGTTTTCTTTCTTTTTTTCTGTTGATTTGTTTGTTGACGCTAAAAGATTTAAGACAAAAAAAAAAGAATAAATTCCATTGAATACTCGATTGAAATTCTTTTTATTTTTTTTTCATCACGTACATTTTTTTTTTTGCAGAAAATTGAATGCCAGCTAAATATATTTTTCTTTATTCTGTTATGGCCATTCTGTGATCATGGATAAATTTTGCTGAAAATTAATAGGTTTTTTTCCAATCCAATATTATTTAACTGATGAATTAACATGAAATAATGAAAGGATTCTGCGTTGTATTGTTTTCTAATCGAATACAATCAAATCGAATGAATAAACCTAATAGCATTAAATTGAACTAATCATTTCGAATTTGATGTCAATGATTGATCACATTGTTTTTTTTGGTAGTGAAAAAAAAAAAACTTGTTTCCAATAAGGAAAATGAAAAGAAAAAAAAATCTATTTGTTATCATTTTGACCACTTTTCTCATATATTCACTAATTTTTCATCTACATCTACATCTTAAAGTTGTTGCATTAAAGTTTTCCGTTCTTGGTCATACAAGCCATGTTCTTATTCTATATTGTTATATTGGTATTTGTTTTTCTTATATGTAATATATGTTGAAAGTTTTGTTTTCATTTTTTTTTGTTTCAATCAACAAAGACTTGATTCTATTCAGTATCGAGGACATATTTGTACGTACTTATACGGACGTACGGAAATATCCACAAACTAGGTGCTTACAATATACACAATGGCACAATTTCAGGTTCAACTGTATTTTGTTATTATTAATGTGATATTTTTTTTTTGTCGAATTCATGCACCAAAATGATTGAATCATTGTTTCAAATTCTTCGATACTTATACCAATCATTATTTCATATATTGTTCACTATTGTCGGGTTATATAAATGAAAGCTTGTCAATCTATGGTTCTGCGTTTTTTTTTCTTTGTAATTTTTCTTTACATGTCGTTATTTTTTTCAACTATTTGATGTATTGCCAAGATATAATCCTAAATAAAGTGTGAGATGGGCTTCATGTACTTTTTTTTCTTGTTTGTTTCATATTTGTTTTCAATGGTATATTCCATCAAAAATATCTATCGATCCATTGTTCGAGATAATCAGAATTTTATTTCATCCATTATCAGCATGTATAACAAGAATAGAAACAATATATAAATAATAGTCCAATGGAAATCTATTCATTTCAACAACACAAACAACAACAAAAATCGACATATATACAAGACATAAAATCAATGAAATCTTATTCTGATAAACAACTCTTCTATTCATCAGTATCTAATTGAAAAAAAATTCTTTTTTTTTACTATTTTTATCCATTTTTTTCTGTGTATGTAAGCATAGATGTCAATTTATTATTAAAAAAGTCTATTCATATTATTAGTTTTGTACATTTTATCAAGAATAGATTATGTGTGTGTGTGTGTGTTACACATGTTCAACAATTCATTTTTGTATTCATAATATTAAACATCTAATCATGTATATGTAAAAAGTTCAATAAAATAAAAGCTTGCTTACAACAAGATTGATTGATTAATGGTCTAATTAATGGCTGCTGTATAATAGATGAAATTAATGAAAGAATAAATGGATGGATAAAATAGATTGAAAAAGATCTTTTTTTTTTTCAAATTCTTCATGAAATAAACGGAAGAAATTGATGAATGGAACAATGGATTGAACATAATTGAACCGCAATGAGTGAATTAATAAAATTGCCAGAAAAACTAATTGAATTGAATTTTAATTCAATGTCAATGTTTACAACAATCTAAATTATGATAATAATCTCTCTGTGTGTGTGTGTGTTTTTTGTTGCTGGCAATTATATTTTAGATTTTCGACATATCCATGTTTTTTATCGATTTTTTCTCGCTCATTTCATTTTATTGATCCAAAATTGTGTCTTGGCTTGACAGAATGTGATCAGTTTTTGTCTTTTGCTTTTATCATGATGACATGTCAATATATTTTCCGGATTTCAACTAGTAGATAGTGTCTATCATTCTCATTATTATTATTCATTGATGGTCAAATAATGGAATGAAAAACTTGCCATCATTGATTTTCATTGTTGTAATACATTTCATGTTTTCAATTCTATTCGTTTGACTTGGATAATACACTTAATCTGTGTGTCATGGATCCATTCATTGTATGCATATCCATTTACATTTTGCATCATTAAACTTTTCATTGTATGCATCGGAAAGAAAAAAAAAAGTTTCAGTCAGATAACAGATTCAAGTTGTCTAGCTTTAACTTTAAGGTTTGGTCAATGGTATTACATACTTTGATAATGACATTTTTCATATTGAAAAGAAGCTTGATTTTTTTTCTACCAATGATTTGTAGGAATAAATATTCTTGAAATGCACAAGATTTTTTTTCTTTCAACAATATTTCTCATTCAAATATATATACGAAATGGCTTTCTAAATGTTAAAATTCATTCCATTGAGAATGACAAAGTATATTTTTTTTTTTTTTTTGCAGAAAACTTTTTATCTTGGACAATCATTTTGAATGGAAAGAAAAAGAGTGATAGAAACGAAGAAATTAACATGATAACCATCAAATATATATTATCATTCATTTTGTTACTTACTGGAAATGGGAATCAAGATTGATTACACATTTGAATGATTTTTATCTTGCACATTTTATTCGTGAGGAAAAAAAATCTTTTGCTAAATATTTCAAATTCTTTTGAACATAGCAAGTTGATTTCTTTTTTCTCACTTCTTTTGTATCATATCATATCGTCATTGCATATTATTCTTATTAATTTCTTGAACATTCCTTCATATACATTTTTGAAATGTAATATAGCTACTACTGAACGATTATTAATACTACAGTTTGAAATTGATGCAAGTGCATGTGTGTGTGTGTCATAATAAATTATTATTATTAACTTAATATCATAATCATCATTTGTTTGAAACGATCTTTAGGGCAAAAATTCTTTTCTTTCCTTTGTTTTGCTGCTTTTGCTGCTGCTGATGGATATGTAAATCGGATAAATGTGGAACATGCACAAGCTACATGTCTATGTGTGTGTGTGTGTGTGTGTGTGTATGTGTTTTTCATTACATGAATGAATAAAAAGTATGCCGGGTTGTTGAAAATATGTTTTTGTCATTATTAATTATGTCTGCCATATTTTTCATCGTTCATTTGTTGTCAACTTTCCTTGTTCCTCGTAATCTGGATGATGACTCTATTATCATCATCATAATCATCATCACCGTTATTACATATTTTTTTTTTTTTTTTTTTGGTAATGCATGGTGACGATTATTCTATGGATCGATTTGTTCATTTCATTTTTATTATTTTT